GTATGTTGGCTTTCTAAAGCCCCAGAGATCTTAGAAATATATCAGGTGTCCCTTTCCTAAATAAGGTATTGCAACAAGAAGCAGGTCTCCCACAAACATCTCACAGTTAGCTTTTTGCAGGCCAGGGTGAGGCAGGAGAGAAAATACGGTAACCTGACATTTAAGCCACCTTCCCTGCAACCTCTCCCCACCCCCACCCCCAAATTTTACTGGGTTGATCAAAAATGTAAAGAAATTAGGAAATTGGTGGATTGAAAGAGAAAACATTTAAACCACTCCCAAATGCCCGCCCTAGGAGATAACCAGACTTAGCAGTATTTCATTCTGCAAGACACACACGGGCAGCAACAGAGGCAAGTGAATTAGACAGGTAGCAATTCTAGATGGTTCAGACAGTAGACTGAGACGGAAAGTAAGTATTGAAGGCAACTGGCCAAGGCCCCAGGATCTGGAAGGGTGGGCAAGGGCATGCATTCGGGTTTAGGAAGCAGCTTAAGGCTCCGTGCAGAGCAGTTAAGACACCCAAGTTTGCCCCACTGTGACTCGGGAGTGGGCCAATGACAGGAACACAGACCCTGCAGCCGGGCCTGGGACCTGGGTTTTACAGGAGAAGATCATGGAGCTGTCAGGTGTGGGGCAATCCCAGGTCTTAGTGAAGAGACACTTGTAAGGCTGAATGCACTTAGCCATGAGGGGAGACTCCCTGGGGTCCCAGAAAGGGTGACAGACTGGTGAGGTGAGCCCTGACAGCCTAAATCCTGTCCGTGCTCTCCTGTGGGGTTACCTTCTCCTTAACTGCAAACACATTTCTCCATGTCCAAGGGGTGTGCTGAGAGTCCCAGCGCTCCAGGAGCTTAGGATGGTTTGTGTTTATCTGACTTCTTCCTAAGGATACTTGAATGCAGGACTTTTGTAGGCACTGTGGACTCAATCAGTTAGCAACAGTAACCCTGGGTTCATAGCACAGCCATGGACAGGAAGACAAATACAGTAAACAAAGTTTTTTTTTTTTTTTTTCCTTTCTTCCTTCCTCGCTTCCTTCCTTCTTCTCTGAGTTGTGCCAGCCCAGGGCTGCATGATGTGGGATAAATAATTTACCTTGTTTCCTTATCAGATTCCTTATCAGCAGACAGGGAGACCTCTTGTTTTATATACTTTCCACTGCCCACCTGTGTGGTTGTTATGGTAGACTGGGATCCTGGCAGGAGACATCAGATTCCACTGCAATTGAGTGACAGGAACTCAGGTTGTGTGCTCAGGCTGTCTGCCTTAAATCCTAGCGGCTGGGACTCCGCCTTGCTTTGCAAAACAGCCATATCTAAGGGCAGGAAGGGAGAGAGGGAAACCCCAAGAGTGCAGGGACACGACAGCCAAGAATAAGGCCCACGGGACTGCAGAGAGACTCCTGACATCCAGGTCTCCCATGTGGGTGCAGGGACCCAAGGACTTGGGCCATCTTCTGCGGCTTTCCCAGGCCACTAGCAAGGAGTTGGATTGGAAGTGGAGCAGCTGGGACTCGAGCCGGTGCCCATATGGGATGCCGGCACCACAGGCGGATGCTTAACCTCCTACACCGCAGTGGCGACCCCAGGGCTTTTCTTTTTAAGCAAGATCTATATGAGGGTAGTGCCAAATGTCCCTGTAAAAATGGAATTAAAAGATAAGTTTATCTTGGCCTGAAGAACCTTTCTTTGAAATCCAGGTAGTTGTTCCATAATAAACATATTTCATGATCATTGTGAAGACCTTTTGAGTGCATAGATTTTTTTTTGCACCCCAATAAATTGGTCTTATCATCCTATTTCCCACAGACTTTTGGCAAAACCCTTGCGTTGGTGCTTGAGGGTTGAAGGAAGAATCCTTGCAAAGGGAGAGTTTGACTGCTTCGGTGAGGACCAAGTGTGTGGGAGCCTGGAGCTGCAGATGGGAGGGGCTGGTGGTGTTTGGAGGGTGCTGCTCGCTCCCTCTGCGTGGGCTGCTCAACACGGAGACGTTGTGGAGCTCCCAGGGGGTGTGGTCAAAGTTAGGAAAGTCTACCAAGGTTGGTTTTCCCCACGTGTAAACTGGGGGCAGTGATAGTACCTATCTCCATGGTGAGGGCTGCAACCAAGCCCTTACCGCTCTGTTCCCGGCTCATAGTGGATGCTCTAAACGTCAGAGTCAGTAATAAAAATAACGGCTACCTTTGAAAATTAATGATGGGACGCTCAAGGTCAAGTCTCATTATATGGCAATAAAAAAGGAAGGTAAAGGGATGACCCAGGGTGTATCCTCAGGTTACTTTTTAAAATTGGACTGGATTTCAATTTCTGTTCTTATTCTTCTTTCCTATCCTCCCTCAAAAGACGTTCTTCAAAATTGATTAAAGCCTCTGGTTAGTCACATCTTAAATATCTACCATATTAAGAATTCTCGGAGAACCGAAGAGTCATTTTTGTAATGGATGCATTAAATACTGCAGTATTACTTTATAATCCTATAGACTATTTTTGTATAAAGGTAAGAACGTTTTGATGAAGTTAAGTTTGGAGTTATAGCAGGAAGACACTGAGTTTGCAGCAATACTCTGTGATTTTAAGAATGAGAAAAAATTCTTAAATGAAGCTACAGGTATTCTGCCACTATGCTTTAGAAAAAAAGGGTTGAAGGGGAAAGTGTTGAGATGGTAGCCCTCCTTCAGAATGAGCTTGTGGGTGGCCATCAGCTTGGGTGGGTTTGGGGTGCTGACTCTGCATTATGCAGTCAGGCTACTTTCCTTACACCACCTGGAGGTAATGGAGCCGCAGATCCTCACATGTCCCAGGGTTTGGGAGAAACAGCGGAGCTTCCAAGAGGGGATGCTCCAGGTTGCGCTCAGCTGCTCGTTTGCCTTGGTCCTTGGCTTGGCATATTCTTGTGGAGGTCCTGCGGTCCCAACTGGATCACGTAATGGACAACGGGAAGCAGAGCTGAAGTGGGGGCCCCTCCTAGACAATCTGTGACTCCCTCCTGAAGTCCAGGAATGCCTTCCTGCCCCTTCTGTCCTCACTCCCGCCCTCCCTTGATTGTATTGTCACTGCTTTTTATAAAAACGTATTTTCCAGATTTATTTATTGAAAGAGATGGAGCAATAGGGACACAGACACGGACATGCACACACACACACACACACACACACGGAGTGGGGGGGGGGAATCTTCCACCTGCTGGTTCATCCCCAAATGACTGCAAAGGCCAGCATCGGGCTAGGTGGAAGCCAGGAACCGGAGACTCCATCCAGGTCTCCCACGTGGGTTGCAGGGCCGCAAACAATTGGGCCATCTGCTGCTGCTTTCCCAGGCACGTTAGCAGGGGGCTGGATCAGAAGTGGAGCAGCCAGGACTCAAACGGGCACCTGTCTGGGATGCCAGAGTCAGAGGTGGCGGCTTATCTCGACGCACCAGGACACGGGCCCCTTGCTACTCCTTTAGGGGAAGTTGGCAGTTCCCAGGTGGATTCATGACTGCAGTCTCGCTTTAGAAGAACACAGGGACAGGCGTGGAAATAGTAAAAGACCCAGACATCAGAGAAGCGTGTGTTCCAAGCACCCTCCTTGCTTTTGTGGAGTAAGGGGGTGGATGTGAGATGGTCAAGTCTCTGGGTGACAAAGGGACCCTCTGTTCTTGGTTTACAGAGAGCACACGGTTAATCCACCACCGCACCACACACCAGCCCCCTTGCTCCGGGTGGCCACAGGTGTAGCGTGGTGGCTGCATATCTCATCTCTCTTAGTAACCACCTTCGCCTACCTGGAACTTCCTAAGCCCTACAGTGGGGTCAGTAGCGCCTGCCTCATTGCACTGCCCAGAGAATTTTCCAGGACACAGCTCACACACTTAGTAGGTGCTCCGTGAACTTCAGCCATCTCACTGCCAGACCCTTCTAAACCGGCCCAGGGCCAAGGCCAGCAGTTGCAAGGGTCTTCGTCTATGCGGGGCGCAGCGCGACAAAATCGCATTGGGCACCGCTGGAGGCCACGGCGAGGGAGGGGCCCGGGGTCCGGAGGGATGCAGGGGCTCCCGGGGGCTCGGCGCATCCTTTTTAATGCACGCCGAGCACACGCGGAAAGAATACTGGCGAGCGTCCCGGCGTCAGCTCGCCCCCGGCAACCGCACGCGGCGCCCCCGCGCTCCGGGGCGGAGGTGCGGCAAGCGCCTCACGGGCACCGCGTCCCCCGTCTCCCCGCAGGCGCAGCCCGCCCAAGGTCGCGCGGCCCCCGAGGGGTGCAGCCGCACGGAACCCGCGCGCGGGGGGCCCACGGCGGGCGCCTCGCGCACCCTCGCCGGGGAAGGGGCCTCGGGGCGCCGCGGGCCGGGAGAGCCCGGGGGGTCCCGCTGAGGAAACCCCCCCCTCTCCTCGGTGCGCTGCCTCTCGCCGGGAATCGGCGGGCGAGGGGCGCGCGCGCGCGCTCACACACACCACACACACACACACACACGCACGCGGACGAGACCGCACCGCGGCGCACGCGCACTCGCCGCCCAGGATGAGACGGAAGCGATGGAAAGTTCCACCCGGTTCGCGAGCCGTAGGTAGCACGCGCGGCGGCGGCGGAGGCAGGGCGCGCCCAGGGGGGGACCCCAGCGGCCTCTGCGGGCCGCTCACGGTCGTGGGCCCGACTCTGGGCCCGAGTGGGTGCCGGCCACGGGCCGCGGGCCGCAGGCCAGGGACCCCGGCGCGGGCGGCGCCCCGGGGACCGCGGCTGCGGCGGCGACGCAGCCGGCGGGAGGGGGCGGGGCGGCCGCGCGAGCGCGCGGGGGCGGGGCGCGCCGAGGGGCGGGGCGTGCGGTCTGCGCAGCTGCCAGCGCCTTTAAGCCCGGGCTCGCGCGGCCGGAGAGCGCTTTCGCCGCCCGGGAGCTGTCCGGCCCAGAAGCCCTCAGGACCCCCCCACCCCGCCCCGGCCGGCGCGGGTCCAGCCGTTCCCCGCCCCTCCGCGTCCAGGGAGCCGGCTCGGGTCGAGCCGCGCGCCGAGCGTTCGGGCAATGCCCCGCTACGAGCTGGCTTTGATCCTGAAAGCCATGCAGCGGGTAAGTGACCTTCCCTCCGAAGCGCGTGTTCCCGCGTGGGTGCCCCCGCCATGGCCGCCGCCGCCGCCGCCGCTGCTAGGCCGCCGCCTCCCTCCGTCCCCGGCGGCGGGACCCCGGGTCTCCCCGCGCGGCCCGTGGTGGGGGTGGGGGGCGTCCGCGCGGAGGGCCCGGCCGCGTGCGCGCGGGAGGCGGGGGTGTGCCCGCGCGGCGCGCGGCGCGGGAGGGTGTGCCTCGCACGCGGCCGGGCGGGGGGTGGGGCGGCTCGGGCCGCGGGAGCCCCCTCCGAAGGTGCGCGGGAGGACACGCGCGGGCGCCCCGGCCCGCTCCCGCCTCGTGAAGCTGCTGGCCGCCGCGGGACGCCGGGCGCTCAATAAACCGTTCCTGCAAAGCGTGTTTGTGCAGTTCTCTGAACCCCGCTCGCACGTTGAGGAAACACACGCACCAAAAACAGCCCGCCCCGGGACTTCTCTCTCTCTCTCTCCGACTTCAGCGCGAATCCTGCTCCCGGTGCCCCTCGCCCCGGGGCGGGCACCCGGGCGGGGGCCTTGTGCGCCCCGAGAAGACACTTTCCCGCCCCGCCCCGCCCGGCGTGTGCTTGATGTTGAGTGGGGGCGCGCAGGTGTGGAGGGCCGGCGAGCGACCCTGCCCAGCACCGGGGCGGCCGGAGGCAGCGCTTCGCCCGACGCCCCCACGGAGTCGGTAATGTAGCGTGGGAGCGCCTCCCCGCCCCCGGGACGGTTCCAAGTAAGCCTCGGCGCACCACTACGTCTGCACGCAGCCCGTGTCGGCTTCGGGGCAGTCTCCGAGGGACTGCCGCCAGGTTGGGGTGAACTGAAGCCTAGGATGCTGGCCAGGCTTCCCGAGAACGGACGCTGGCCTGTGCACATGGTTGACTGGGGCCGCGAGCCGGGTCCGGAGGCTCCGTCCCCGCGAGCCATTGTGTCCCCCTGCCTGCTCTCCCGGCGCCCGCCGGGGAGAGCTTGATGTCTTGCCCAGCCTCCTGACAGATCTTGCTCCCGGCTTTTACCAGGATACACGGCTTAAAACGAGTAGGAACCACGGGAAAAGTTACCCAAAGGCCGTTTTTAGTTAAGTGGAACTCTCTACGCCGTCCGTTTAACCTCTTTTTCAGCAGATATTACAGAACGTGGGAAATGTTACTGAAACGCCTTTTGTTAACTTCCTTGGGTAGCTAGCAGGTGATCAGTGGCTACAAGAGGTAACCTGTAGGCTTAACGCGCCCCTGAACCTTGAAATGAAGACCCGCACACTTCTCTGTTTCTGATAACAGCTGCCAAGTGTGTAGCTTAACATGGCTACGAGTATGTTAGTTAAATGTGTTTCCTTCACCATGCTACCTATTTTTTTTTTCTTTTTGTATGCTGTAACAACCAGGGTTCACAGACTTTGGATGTGGAGGTTGCAATTTTTACTCTAGTACAGATAAGCTATATGTAGTTTGGTTAAAATAATAAACTCCTTGAAATTCTTGCCCAAGGGCAGGGGGCAACAAACAAAACCAAACCAGACCATTCTGGAAAGAGCAGCTCATTGGAGGGGGGAGGGTGGGCTCCATGGTCTTAGGTAGAATCTTGTAACAAAAATTGTATGGAGATGATCCTTGACCTAAATAAAGTAAGATTAAACAACTACAGAAACTCCACTTTTTGTTAAGAACTTATCTTTGAGTAGATTGTAAATGTGTCATAAAGACAGGTTTTGGGTAATTTTGTTTGCTTTCAACTTGAGAAGGTTGGATTCTAAAATAGGATGTGTAATTTGGGGTTTATAAACGTGAAGTGCCACTTTGTGCCTGCACACTTTTGAAGGCCCTGGGGCAGGCGCAGTGCTGCCCCAAGCAGTTCCTTCTGCTGCAGGGGCTGTTAGGAACCCTCCTGGTTCTAGATTGGTCCTGTATTTTGTCGTCTTCCCCTTTCCCCACATCCTCGGTGGCTTGGAGGAGAGGAAACATGCTGTGATGGACAGCTTTTATTCTAGCAGATCCAGAAGTGGCTGCCTCTTGGCCTCTGTGTGTTCTGTGGCACTCGAGAAGCCTACGAGCATTCGTAATCTCCTGGAAGGTGGTCCCTCGCCCTACCCTCATCCCCCTTATTTTATTTTCTTTGACCTCCAGCTTGACTCAATAAAATTGAGCGTACAGAGTTTCTAAATATAAAATGCGGACACTATGTTGAGGCTCTCGTAGCACTTGGCACTGTAATAGAGTCCCTTAGTGGAGTCCTGTCTGAGAGTGGAGTTAGAGAATCGGCCTCACCGAAGTGTACAATTGTGTGTCTGTCAGTCTGTCCCTGGGAGTTGATGATGAGTCTGCTCTGGTTGTACTGCCAAGTCTGCGTTTCTGTTTATGTAGACACCAGCCTCCCCAAGAAGACGTTTATTTCAGGTATTGTATGGCTCGAATTTTAATGTGTGAATATAAAAAAGTTACCATTTCTATGTTCTCCCTACTTCAGGACAAAAAGTAGGTATGTATGGCTAAATGCAGCGTTGTGACACAGTGTGGGATCAGTGTGGTGACACCAGGCCTTTGAAGAGGACGATGATTACAGTCTTTGCTTAGACCAGTCTTAGATCAAGCTAATAGAAGAATCTCCAGGATGAAAACATTTGAAAGTCCTGTGGCACCTCTATCAGATAGCATTGGAAGAGGTTCTGTTCCTATCTGCAAAAGATGGTTTTCAGAGGCACAATGTGGAAGGCCGTAGATGCAGAGGAAAGACCAAAGCTGCAGAGTCCCAGGCAGTCTCGTCTCAGCAACTGAAACAGAAACGGATTGCCTGTGAGATGGTGAGTGCTCTCTCCACCTCCACCTTGTCTCCCTGCAGTGGGAACTCTGGAAGATAGAGAAGGAAGGGACCGTGCATTTCCTAGGTGAGCCCTGCCACTGACTTCTGAGTCCCCGGAAAGGCTGATGTCCTCTGATTGCACTTTGTAATTCGATTTTAAAGCTTGGTAATTCATTTCAGTTAGGGGTGATTCATTTCAGCTGGGTAAGAACTGAGTTGCCAGCACACGAGTGCTGAAGCCATGGACTGAAGGAGAGGCCAGGAGGCGCTGTGTAAATCTGTAGAAGACTTTTACTCCAGGGGTGGGTATAGGAAGAGGAAGTTTGGAAGAGAAAACTGCTGTATTTTTATATACATGTATGTTTTGGATTACCTAGTTGAGGACCATGGTAGTTACATCTTACTCTGTTTGCTCAGATGATCACATTTGGTGTGAGGGTACTTAAAAAAGTTTGTGGAAAATGGAATTAAAGGACAAGTTTATTTTGGTGCAAAAAATTAAGACTCATGCATAGTTTTCTTCCTTATCTATGTTTTCTCTGAACTTTAGGAAACCTCTCCCATTTAAACTTGTGAAAGCCCAGGAAAACATTTTTCCTGATTTACCACTCAAGAATTTTTACATAAAGAATTAAAGCTTAATGGTTTAAATAATAACTAGCTTACTTGCTAAATGATTGTGTGTATAGTAAAGTAGCATTTATACATATATATATCCTCTTGTATGTATTCTGCTTTCATAGGAATAAAGAAATGGATAGTTACTTTGGAGATCTTATGTTCCTGTTTTAAAAAAATGATGAAATGTTTATGTTCATTACTCTAATTTCATTAAAAGCAGATTATGTTTTAAAATTACTTATTGAAATAGTTCTTTGTGGGTAAAAATGTTATGAAAAAAATGTGTTTAACTTAGAACGTGGCGTTTTTAGATAGGGGAAAGTGTAGTGATAATCCAGTTCCGAAAACATGAGAAATAGATATTCCTCTGTGCAGGGAAGAGTCTCTTGTTTGTTTATTATTTATTTTAAAGTTTGATTTTATTTATTTTGAAAGGTAGAGTTACAGAGTGAGAAGGAGAGAGAGAGGTCTTCTAGCCGCTGGTTCACTACCCAAATGGCCACAGCTGCTGAGGCTGGGCCCAGCCGAAGCCAGGAGCTTCTTCTGGGTCTCCATGTGCGTGCACAGGCACAAGGACTTGGACCATCCTCCACTGCCTTCCCAGGTGCATTAGCAGGGAGCTGGATCAGAAGTGGAGCAGCCAGAACTGGAACCGGCACCCAGCACCCATATGGGATGCCAGTGCTACAGGCAGCAGCTTAACCTGCTGTGCCCAGCACCGGCCCCAAGTGTCTCTTTTCTGTTTCTCTTCACTCAAGCTTTCTTGATTAGAAAATGTGGCAAAAGTTTTATTTTTGTTTTAGAGTTGTATTCAAGTTAGGATCTTCTGGAAGTAATACCTGTAAAATGCTTGCATTTTAGGGAGTATTTGGAGGTGTAGGGTACTAATGAGCTCATGTATGGATCTGACCAGCTCCAGGTGTCTTCGTAGCTTGGTTCCCTTCACAGCATTTGATAAGTAGGCACGGTGGAACCTCCGTTGTCAGTTGTTGGGAGACTTCGTTCGGATGGAAACGTTTCTGTCCAGTGGCCAAGCCTGTCTTCTCGTAGACCCTCTGTGAACAGCTCAGCTTGCATCTGATAGTCTCTGTCTGCTTTGTATGCGTGGAGCCAGGCAGCTTAAAACAGTTCTCCAGTAATCAAAGACTTGAGCCTTGTGGGCACTGCTATGCTCTCACTTGGTATTAAAGTTTTCTTGGGTTACAGCTCATTGCTGCAGCAAGTGATTGAAGAAGGAGCCCTGTTCCTGCCCTTGAGCTACAGCTAAAGTACAAGCAGTGGCTTAGGGGTGAGGAGTCTTCCTCACCACACACGGTTTGTATGTATGGAGCCTGCCAGCAGTTGACATTCTGCACTGGTTTTTTTGTTATTGCTTGTGATTCACATTCAATACTGCTGTTTATAGTTTTTAAAATCTAGATTATATCTAGAATTTTTATGCAGATTACTACTGAATCTTCTCACCTTCCAGACTATAAAATCACTTTAAAGAAGACTTTCCAAGGCAATCAGAAGTGAATTCTAGAGTAATATCTAGCACTCTTGCTCTATTTGTAGTATAACTCATCTAAAACCAATGGAATATAGAAGTGTTTTAACATAAGGAGGGGAGGAAGGGGAGAGAGATGACGATGAAATACTATGGTATGATTAGTATTTTATACAAAGTTGTTAGACTTTATCAAACTTGTAATTACTATTTAATTATCCTGCTTTCCTGCTTTATCACTGGCTTAGATACTGGCTTTCATTCCTAGTATTTTTCAGGTTTATCTGTTCAAGATGAGAATACCTCATTTTAGTACTCCTTTTAAGAAAGCAGTATTCAGGTGTGACCATAGACACATTTAGGGGAACCAAATTTAAAGAATTAGTCAAATCAATTGGTAAGTTACCACCTTATCTAGAGGGAAGAGTATGCTCAATAGTTTGGAAAAGGACAGTTAACCAGTTGTCCTTTTTTTTAAATTTGTTTTATTTGAGAGGCAGAGAGAGAGAGAGAGGTCCTCCATCCGCTGGTTTACTCCACACATGGTTTACATTGGCCAGTCAGCTGGGGCTGTGCTGGAGCCAGGAGCCAGGAGCTTCTTTGGGATCTCCCACGTGGGTGCAGGGGCTGAAGGGGTTGGGCCTTCTTCCACTGCTTTTCCAAGCCATAGCAGAGAACTAGATAGGAAGTGGAGCAACCAGGACTTGAACTGGTGCCCGTATAGGATGCCGGCACTGCAGGCGGCGGCTTTACGTGCTACGCCACAGTGCTGGCCCCAACCAGTTGTCTTAATCCAGTCTTGTCCTGGTTGTTGGTCTCAACTGAGAGCCTGGATTGTTTACCCATGGCTCAGGTCTGAACTGCCACCTGTATTTTTATGGCCTGTGAGCTAAGAACGAATTTTACAGTTAAATAGCTGAAAAATATTTTATTATTGAAAATTATATGAATTATAAATTTTGTAGCCCATGAATGAGACTGTATAGGAACATAACCCTGTTCCTTTATTATCTGATCTTTTACAGACAAAGTTTGATTTACAGTGTACAGACAGGGTTTTCTGGATTCATTGAGCATTTCTCTTGGCTTCTTTGTGTCATTTCTCTTTGATTCCTTCCTTTTTCTTTGTGTAGTATATCTTTGATTTACAGTTGGTTGGTTTGCTGTTTTTGTAACAAGCTGACAGCTTGCCTTTCCTCCTGTGCTCTGTGCTTGTAGCCTCCCGGATGTCCCCCTTGGCCCCATGGACTTGATGCTCAGAACTTAACGAGTTGCCGACCCTGAAACTTGTCTGTGTTAGTGCTAAACTGATTTCTGCCTATTGTGTCTCTGTCTTTTGTCATCTAGGGATGCACAAATCTAAATTCTGTTGTTTCTTGAATTCCCAATACTGTAGAGTCTCTTGCTTGCCCTCGTTGAACTGCTTATCTTTCTTGGACTCCCAAGTTTCTTAGCTGGTCTCCTCCTTGATATGGGATTATAGTTCCTGCTTATAAAGGCACTTTTTGATGTGCAGAAATAGTTGTACTTGAGATTCTTTAGGAGAATTCAGCTGAAATGCATTTTTTAAAAAGACATACTTGAAATGCTGAGTGGCGGTGAGTGACATAACGTTCATCTGCTGGGTCACTCCTCAGATACCTATAGCAGTTGGCTCTAGGCTAGCCAAGGCCAGGAGTCAGGAACGCCATCCAGGTCTCCTACATGGGTGGCAGGAACCCACGCAGTTGGGCCATCATCTGCTGCCTCCCAGGTGCGTTAGGAGGAAGCTGGATCAGAAGTGCCGAATAGCCAGGACTTGAACCAGCACTCTTTTTTTTTTTTTTTTTTTTTGACAGGCAGAGTTAGACAGAGAGAGAGAAAGGTCTTCCTTTTTCCTTTGGTTCACCCCCCAAGTGGCTGCTGCGGCCGGTGCGCTACGCCAATCCGAAGCCAGGAGCCAGGCGCTTCCTCCTGGTCGCCCATGTGGGTGCAGGGCCCAAGAACCTGGGCCATCCTCCACTGCCCTCCTGGGCTACAGCAGAGAGCTGGACTGGAAGAGGGGCAACCGGGACAGAACCGGCATCCCAACTGGGACTAGAACCCGGGGTGCCGGCGCCGCAGGTGGAGGATTAGCCTAGTGAGCCGTGGCGCCAGCCGAACCAGCACGTAGGGGATATGGACGCCCCAGTTGGCAGTTTACCTCGCTGTGCCACAACGTCCGAGAATAGAAGTCCTTGTATAGTGATGGCTGGCTTTCTCTTTCACGTTTTTCTTTTTTTTTCTTTTTTTCTTTTTTTTTTAAAGACATATTTATTTGAAAGGCAGAGTTATAGAGAGCAAGAGAGTGTTTTCCTCTGCTGGTTTACTCCTCAAATGACTGCAACAGCCGGAGCTGGGCCAATCCAAAGCCAGGAGCCAGAAGCTTTTTCCGGGTTTGCCATGTGGGTGCAGAGGCCCAAGGACTTGGGCCATCTTCCGCTGCTTTCCCAGGTGCTTTAGCAGGGAGCTGGATTGGAAGTGGAGCAGCTGGGACTTGAACTGGTGCCCTTATGGGATGCTGGCTATGCAGGTGGTGGCTTAATCTGCTATGCCACAGTGCCAGCCCCCAGTGATGGCTTTCTGATTTCCATGCTAGTTGATTATACGAACATTGGCCAAATCATAGCACATCTCTCTCCTCTCGAACATTCTGAATGGAGTCTGGCGTCCAAAGCTACCTCTGATACAACTCCTAACCTATTTTATTAAACCACCTCTCTGAATTTCTTCCACTCTCCATTCCATATACCACGTAAAACTGCTGCAGATCTTTATAAATGCCATTCGCCTTTTGTGCTTATATCACACTGTTTCTCTGTTTGGAATGTTCTCCCTTTCTGGGGTCTCATCCCCATGAAAATCCGCTATTTGGAGCATCAAACAGGTACTGAGGGCCCGCACCCTCAGGAGTATAGATTGTGACGCATCCTTGGTTGCACGCTTTTCTGTTCGGATCACATGGGTCACATTCCACTTTGTATTAGGTCACTGGTGAATGCATCTTGACCTTTGCTAGTTTACACATTTTTGAGGATCTGTTCTGTTTCATTTCTGTCCTCTGCTGTGCTTTTCACATATGGCAGATAATCAGCTGCCTTGAGGGGATTAGTATTGTCTCTAGAACAGTTCTCTGATACGATAAATCGTGTTGGTTTTTGTGCTAGTAGATTGCTTTCAACTCGGTGCACTGTGCTTGATCTGTGTGAGTTGCATGCCGACCAGAAGTTGTGTGGATTTCTGAGGCTATTTTACTGCACGTAGTTTTGTTTTATTATAATTTAAGTACCATGTGAACTCATGAAATGAGTGTTTTTTTTTTTTTCTTTCAACTGGATTCTTGGGGGAAGACTTGATAAAAGGTGAGTCACTAAAATAGCTGTAGAAGTAAATAGAGTTGAAATTAATTAATTTGGGAGAGGAGTAACAGAAGTTCAGGATTCTGTAAGTAGATGGTTTAAGAGGATCTCTTAAAATTTTTCATGTAAATTAAACTGAAAGTAGAGATTGTAGATGATACATTGTATATGGTATAGACCAAACAGAAGAAGCTTTAATCATAAAGCAATTGGGAATCCTGATACCATTGTCCAAGGGCTATGACATCATCATGTGAAAGATCGATGAATGTATATGTTTTAAATACTTAGAGTGAACACATATTTTTGATTGGATATGATTATCTTGCGTGTGAAGGCTTCTGCATCAGTGTGTGCTCTGATTCTTGTTTTCAAAATGAATAGAAGAATGTACCATTTTCGGTCACCGTTCCTCAGCTGTAAAACAGTAATCCTTCCACTGGAAGGTTCTTGGAAGTAAAGCGGGAACGTGACTGGCAGGCGGGAGGTTGCCAGGATGTCGTTCCGGTAGCCTTGTCATCTCAGGCAAGTTACTGAGCTGCTTTGCTTCCTTTTCCACCATTCCTGCTTCACCGGTGAAGGGACTCCAGAAGATAAGCTTACGTGTGTACATTTGTTTTGTCAGACCCCTAGACTGAGTCACACCTGACACAGTTCTGGCTTGGCAAGCACTGGAGTTGGTGGTGTTTGTGCGCAGGCTCTGTCCTCCTACTCCCAGCTAGAAATTTAGATTTTACAAGGAATCTGATTTAAGATGTTGGCAATTAATTAAAAATATTTAGGCACCATGGACTGGATGTATCTGTGGGTCAGATATAGCTGTCATTTTGTAATTTCTGACTTAGAAGGTTGGCTTTCGGCTTTCTAGGAACCTCTCAGCACGTTGACAAAGCCCACCTTGTTAGCTGTCCCTGGGTTACAGTAGGACTGGTAGTCAACTTAGTAAACAGCAGTGGCGTTCAGTTCTGGCAGGTAGGGTTAGTCCCTAGTTCTAGACTGATGATGTTTTATGCATTTAGGCTGAAGTGTTCAGACTTTAGAGACGTGCATGGCTTTAGTATGCGTCCCGAAGTATGCCTAAGCTTTGTCAGAAGTTGGTAGTCATAGCTCACTTTGTCTTTGGAGGATAGCTTACGTTAAGCATGCATCAGCACCCTGTGATGCGCACCCGTTTTATTGACTTCTTCAGGAGCTGGCAATACTGTTCCCTCTGCAGGGCTGCTGTGTGTAGAAAATGACATTTGTTGGTTGAGGTGCAACCATGAGTTCTCGGTAGTTGTGGCCCGCGGACTTGGATCCAGGCTGTTCCTGCGTGTCTTTGGCTGCACAGTACAGTTGACCCCCTTCTCCCAGTCGTGTGAACTGTGGCTCCAGTGCCCCGTTGCAGGAGTGCCTGCTTACTTAGGGGTCCTTCAGCTGGTGCAGGTGAAAGCCTTGCCGTGAGATTGCAAGTGAAAGCATGAGCTTGACACGCCTTTCTCTGCGGAGCTCCCCCCACCCCCCGCTTGCGTTTCGGGTGCTGGGAGATGCTCCTGTGAGAGCCCGTGTGCATGCAGCCTTGGCCGCTGTGAGCAGGTGCAGAGCTGTACCTGCCCTCTTGCAGTTTGTGTCCACATGCCCTGTGTGGAAAGTGTGGATGTGCAGCATCCACCACATGCTGGTTTTGATTCAGATTTCCAGTGATTCTTCTGTTGAATGAGAAGCTAAATGTGCGGGTAGGGTGTATGCCAGCCATGTTACAGGACAGGTGTACCTAAGTTTCTGTTTGCATTTTAAATTTTGACCTGTTAAGTCAGTGAAGTGACCTAATCACTTACTAGATTTTGATTGTCTTTCTTTTGCTGGTGTACTACTTGCCTTCTGTCTTGTTAGCTATCACGAGAAAGCAATTAGAAGTATATGAGCTTGAAACCTTAAGGACAAGTATCTATCAGGGAGAGGCTTGTTAGCACGGTTTTCCTTATAAGAATGCCCTTCTCATGGGTTGACTATGCCAGGGCCAGGGACTTTCAAGTTCTTTCTGTATATTTAAGAGTGAAGGGAAAAACCTCTGACGTTACGTTCCTTGTCAGATATTTTACCTGATGAGGATGCAGTCACTGGATGCTGCTTATGATTTCGAGATATCCTGCCTTCTGCTCAGAGAAGGCAGTCTGCATTGGTTTGTCTAGATGTTTATACCCTTCTGCTTGGCAGTATCTGAAATAGCAAGATGCGGCTGCATTCGCAATCTAGAACACTTTGCCCCTGTTTTGCATTCACTTAAATTTCCACCAGTCTTTCCGAGTAACTGTTAAAGTTACCTATTTATGGACCTACTTTTTTCTTCTTTAAGATTTATTTATGTATTTGAAGGGCAGAGTTAACAGAGAGGCAGAGGCAGACAGAGAGGGAGATCTTCCATGTGTTGGTTCACTCCCCAGATGGCTGCAACAGCTGGAGCCGGGCTGGTCCGAAGCCAGGAGTCAGGAGCTTCCACGTGGGTTCAGGGGCCCAAGCACTTGGGCCATCCTCCACTGCCCTCCCAGGCCACAGCAGAGAGCTGGGTCAGATGTGGAGCAGCCAGGACTTGAACTGGCGCCCATATGGGATGCTGGCACTGCAGGTGGTGGCCCTACCCACTACGCCACAGTGCTGGCCCCTTTTTTACTTCTTAAAACCTTATTTTCTCCACACGAGGGGGAAAATAAGATTTTTAAATTTTCCATCCAAAAGGAAATAAATATTCTACTTTCAGAATCTTCTGTTCATTACTTGGTTTTCTGGGAGAATCAGAATCTGTTCCATCAGGAAGATACTTGTGTTTATATTTTCTGCTTCAATCACTTTGAAAAACAAGAAGAAACCATTTATAATCTGTTCTTTTTGAAACACAGAGTTGAAATCGAGTAGGATAAGAGAAAAAACGTGAAAATGAACCAAAAAGTTGACTTGATTGCATATGGTTGGCCTTTGAGGGAGAGTTTGATTGAAGTAAGAATTGCCTGTAGAGGGTCTGCAATAGATTCATGGAAAATGCACAGTATTTTAATATTTTCCCAGAAACTCTTTGAAGTACCCCCATCTGTGTATATATATATATATTTATTTAAGATATATTTCATTTTAATGGTTGGAGAGTGTGATTCCATTTTATAAATAAAAAAACTGAAGCAGAAAGGTCAGATGGCTTTGTAAATAGCCGAACCAGTACCAGCATATTCCAAGGCTGGAAGTCGTGCTTTTGATCACTGTGTCTGTCAGAAAGTACATTCTGCAGTTAACAGTGCAGTTAAGCCTCTTGAGATTAAGGAAATAGTTCCCATCTGTGTTGAATGCCTGCTGGGTGCCAGTGCTGCCTGCACGTTTGAGGAGTGTAGTGTGAAGCAAAGTTCCAGGTTTGTGGTGCTGTCCAGCCTAGTGAGGAAGACCAACTAGCATATTTGGTGAAGAAAACCAAAGCAGGATGGGGAGAAAACAAGGAGTGTCCTGTTTTACTTAGGGTGACTGTGCAAGGCAGGAGCTTCTGTAAGAGCAAGCCTTGGCCGGCGCCGCAGCTCACTTGGCTAATCCTCTGCCTGCAGCACCGGCACCCCGGGGTTCTGTCCGGGTTGCTCCTCTTCCAGTCCAGCTCCCTGCTGTGGCCCTGGAGGGCAGCGGAGGATGGCCCAAGTGCTTGGGTCCCTGCACCTGCACTAGAGACTGGGAGGAAGTACCCAGGTCCTGGCTTCGGATCAGTGCAGTGCCGGCCGTAGCGGCCATTAGGGGAGTGAACCAACGGAAGGAAGACCTTTCTCTCTGTCTCTCTCTCACTGTGTATAACTCTCTCTCTGTCTCTCTTTCTGTCTAACTCTGCCTGGCAAAAAGAAAAAAAAAAGCTTTAGCCATCAGGTTGGGGCGGAAGATGGAGACGCAGACAGGTCTTGAGGAGTTGAGTCAGCCGGTGGTCAGTCGGCAACCTTCATTTTCTGAAGGTCCTTCTCAGTCTTACCTGAAAGAATTGATGAGTATTTGTTGAATGCCCGATTGTTTTCCTATGACTTCCATTTTAAAGAAAACTTTTACTTATTTTCATTTATTTGAGAGACAGGTCTTTCGTCCATTGTGTTAAGAGTCTGGAGCTCCATCCAGGTCAGCGTGGGTGGCAGGGGTGCCCAGGAACACGAGTCGTCTTCTGCCTTTTGGGTGTGCATTGGCAGAGAACTGGAATCGAAAACTGGGACTCTGACCAGGCACTCTGGTCTGGAGTTCGCGTCCAAATGCCTTTGCCTCCTCCATAGGCCTTTTTACCTAGTAATCTTGATGTTGCCTTGAGATGCATGTTTTCCCCATTTTATGGAAGGGAAAGTTAAGGCACAGACTTGGGCATCTCTAAAAGTAAATTGTGAAATGAATCTCCAGATTGTACCTGTTACTTAAACTTCAGTAGTTCATTGCCATTCATCAATCTTACCTCATCTCCAACCTTCCCTTTCGAAAATATAAGCTGTTAGCATAGTTCATTTAACACTTTAATGCTTTGTGCTGAGATTACTGATTATTAGAACTGACTGTAATTGTTGTCACTTTTTTATTTGGATCATTTGAGGTTGCAGACATCTTGACATGTCTTTAATCTTAGGACTTGGGCCTTTTTCGTAACCACAGCGTAACTATTAACTCAGCATTGACATTGCTACAGTATTATTCCACAATCCTCATGTAAGTCTATGGTGTTATTCTAGTAATAATTTTTAGTTTTTAATCCAGTGTTCAGTCAAGGCTCATGTCATTGACAGTGGCAGACCCTGTTTTGTGGAACCCCTTACTTGGGATTTGTCTGTAGTTGCTTGCTCATGATTAGAGGTGGATTAACCATCGCTGGCAGGAGTGCTCCCTGGGGATTTCACTGTGTCATCCTGGGAGGCATGGCAGTTTGTCCCACTGTTGGGATTGTTGAAGCAGTCATCGGGTTTAGGGGATAGGCACCTGATTGTTCAGTTGTAAACACACCTTTTTCTTGTGCTAAGAAATCTGTGGAGTAAAAAATTTGAGTTAGAATTTTTTGTTCTTCAAAAATCTGCTGGTTTTGGCATCTGTTGATGGTTCTAAATCAAATTATTGCTGGAGTCCTTTAAACAAACACAGATCTATCATTTCGCCTGTAACTATTTGGTGTTCATCTAAAAGATGAGGGCTTTAAAACACAACCAAAGTACCTTTGTCACACCTAACTACAGTTCTTTAATATTTACTATTCTGTTCAGATTTCCTGAATTGCCTCTCTACAGTTAGCTTGTTTGAATTTTCAGTCTACATAAGGTCACAGATTGTATTTACTTAAATGGCTTCTTAAATCTCTTACTTTGTAACAGCCACACACACACACACACCCACACACCCTTTGTCTTGCATTTCTGCATTTGGCTGGTCACTTCCTGTGTACTTCTGCTCCAGGTGTATTTTATAGACTCATAGGTAGAAGTTTAAGGTTCTGATTTGGTTTTTGGTTTTGAAGAGTGTCCTGGGGTAGCAGCACATCCAGGGGCATATAGTCTGCCTTTTAGAGATCAGTTTAGTTCTTGATGGATGTAGATATCCATCCTATTACAATCTATATTTATTGTTTATTAGAGAAATGAAGTGAGAGAGAGAGAGAGAGAGGGACAGGCAGCTCCTAGACACTGGTTTGCTTCCCAAATGACTTCAGTCAGGACAGAGCCGGTGCTGGACACTCAGTCCTGATCCCTGACATGGATGGCGGAGACCCAACTAATTGAGCCATCACTGCTGCCTTCCAGGGTCTGGCATTAGCAAGAAGCAGCAATCAGGAGTGGAAGCAGGACTTGAACCTGGCGGGCCAGTGTGGGATGTGGGTGTTCCCACTGGCATCTTAACTGTCAGGTCAGTGCCCAGCCCTCTATCCATTTTCATTTCCCGTCCTCTTTTCCTCTAAGGGTTTTGGCATCCTTGTAGTCATTGCATAGATGCATTCTTGGATTATACGTTGGAAATGACTTTCTCGTATCATTCCTCTGCATCAGTTAGTTGAGTTTTTTGACTTGTGCTTATTGCTATTTTGTGTTTGTTGTGTGTGTGTGTGTGTGTGTGTCTGCCTGAAAAGTATCCTAAAAGGTTACATTCTTCACCTTTGCCTCAGAGAGGATGTTCCTGTGCTCTGTTAGTGATACTCCAAGAATGTCCTTAATTTTCTCATCTGTAAATTGAAGATAATTGTGCCTGCCTCTTGGGGGTTTCTGTGAGGCTTAAATGGGTTTGCACATGAGGTGCTTGGCACGCCGTGTTTGGTGAATGCTTGTTGTTCCAGTGACTAGTTGTATGAGAACAGTGAGTGAGGTATAATGGAGAGGTGGAGAAGGGAGAAACGCTTCCTAAGGTGACTTCAGCAGGGTGCTTGTGCAGGTGTGGAGGGAGCTGAAGGGAAGTGCTGCTTGCCCATATCAGCTTGACCGTGTGGACAGAGCCATCAGATAAGCACATGAACAGGGAAGGTTGCCACATACCACCGTACACTGTGACCCGGATGTTGACGGCTGCTGCAGGAAAACCTGGAACATCTCCACAATGGAGCTAGTGGATTGAGGAGTGGACCACTATTGTGGTGGTTAGGGGTCTCCAGATACTGGCTTTAACAAACTACATCATGGCCCACTGAGATTTCTATGTGAACAAAGGGCATTCTTGCCTAGTCTGACTTGCCTTATTCCACATACCCTTAATTTAGAGCTATTTGAGATTAGAGGGTTTATTCTCTCAGCCTTTTTAATATACCACTCTTAGTGCTTTAAAAGGTTGTATAGGGTATGAAGTTTAGCAATCTTGATTATGTACTTAGTGATATTTGAGTCATTTATTTGACAAACAGTTGAGCACCTGCATGATGTGCAAGATTGTGTCTGGGCAGAGAGCGCATCAGTAAAGAATAGCTACAAGAACTGCCTCTGGGAGTTTATATTCTCTCTCTGAGGAGAAGGGGCGAGTCAGTTTTATGTGTTAGGTGTTGAAAGCTGTGGAAGATAAAGCAAAATAGAGTTGACGTGGTCAGAGCGGTGGCTTTTGAGCAAAGATGAAACGAGAAGGCAAGCCTTGTGCAGAGCTGGGTGTGCAGTGCTGCCTGGACAGGGCAGGTGGAGGCCCAGGGACTTGGTACCTTGTGATGAAAGTGGGGTGCCTGCTGTCGTAGTGCCCTTGTGGGCCCATGGCAGAAGCATGGAGACCATGGACCGTTCATGAGATGGGGTGGTGGTTTGGACTAGATGGTAGCAATAGAAGTATTAACTGGTCTGGATGTATTTTAAACAAAGCATCAGCAAGCTTTGCTTAGCAATTGGTAGTATCAGGTTGCGAGAGAAGGCGAGCAGTGAGCAAGGACTGGTGGTTTGGCTTGAACAGTGGTGGGCATGGAGTTGCCATTCTCTGAGATGGGGAGGCTGCGAGAGCAGGTTTGAGAGAGCCAAGCCGGATTCCTCATACTCCCACACAGGATAGATGCTAGCAATTCGTTCAGCAGCAGTGCTCCGTGAATGCGCTCTGGGAGCCCTTGCGTCTATAGAAAATACACACAGTTCTTTTGACCTGATGTCTTCGAGCTGTAGGAGTTACAGGTAAAGATTGAGTTAGATAGCTTCATACAGACTGTTCTAACTAGGTCAGGTGTTAACTTTTTTTTTTTTTTTTAAAGAAAAACAAATGTAATTTATAGGTGGCAGGTCTAACTTTTTAAAATTCTCTAGTGGAAGGACTAATTAATACTGAGGAGAATAAAGGCAAAAAGCTTGGACTTGGGTGGTGAGAACCTTGATCCACAGCTGACGCATCAAGATTTTTCTACTCTGGGTGTTTGTTTACCCATAAGAAGCCCATTCCTGGGACTTTCCTTTTGTTTTTAACCTCCCCATTTCCCTCATGCACTTTGAATATTGAGACACGATTTTGTCACATGTGATATTTGCTCTTATTTTGTTAACATTTGTTAATATATTGTCTTGAATATTTTCTCTGAACACACAGTTTTAAACATGCATGATGTTGAATGATTGATCTTCTGTCAGTATTGTTAATTTTCTTCCTGTTAGCAAAGAAATGTCCTTTTCATTGAAGGTGGTATTGCGGAGAAATGAAGGGAAGCAGCTAGTAAGACAAATGGATGTGAGTGTAAATCCTAGTGTTGACACAGAGAGCTGTATGCTTGACCAAGTTAACTGCCTCGGTTTCAATATTCTCGTCTATAAAATGGTCATAATTGTACTTGCCACATGGTTGTTGTGAGAATTAGAGTAATACATACAAAACTAGAGAAAACGCTGTTAGTCAGAATTTAGGTGAGTATCAGCTTCTGCTTGTTATCTCTGTTATTTGTAACTCACTTATCTTTGATAAGCACAGTTTACAAGGGGATGGTACTGAGTCTTTTGAATTCTTCCCACTAAGATTTACACAAATGTTTAGTTGTTGAGATTAGATGAAGTGGTATCATGGGTGCTATTGCTGTGTTACTTTGTATTTTCCTTTCTTTCAAAATAATAGGCTGTTGGCATTTGCTCCTTTTTTTTTTTCTTTTGAAGATATTTTTATTTATTCATTAAAAAGGCAGAGCGACAGAGACAGAGATTTTCCAAATGGCCGCAACTGGTGGGACTGGGCCAGGAGCCAGGATTCCATCCAGATCTCTCATGTAGGTGGCAGGGGCCCAAGTAATTGGGCCATCTTCCCCTACTTTCCCAAGTGTGTTAGCAGGAAGCTGGATCAGAAACAGAGCAGCCTGGATTCGAACTGGTGTTCTAATACAGGATGCTGGAGTTGGAAGCGGCGACTTAATGTGCTGAACCACAATGCTGGTCCCAGTGAATAAGAATTTTACTTGAAGAAACGGTTTGCTTGGGAAACCATCCTTACCCCTATCCCTCTTATGGGAAAAACTGATCAAAGTAGAGCTGCAGAGGCTTAGGGTGAGGGACTGAAATCCCTGGCTCTCCTGCCGTGCCTTCCACCCCCTGATGGTACACAAGGAACTAGAAGTCCTCAGAATACAGCTTGAATACCATTTGAGTTCAGTCTGGTTTTTGTATACTATTGAAAAATGTAGATAGCTGAGGTTGAAAGGTTTAATGGAAATATTCTCTAAGTGTTTTAGGGACTGTTCATCTTGCAGATACACAGAGGGTTGGTTGGAGGTCACACACACTATATTGGAATACTTTTTTTTTTAAGATTCCTTTATGTATTTGAAAGGCAGAGTTACAGAGAGGCAGAGAGAGAGAGAGAGGGGTCCTCCATCTACTTGTTTACCTCCCAAATAGCCGCAATGGCCAGAGCTGGACTAATCTGAAGCCAGGAGCCAAGAGCTTCTTCTGGGTCTCCCATGTGAGTGCAGGGGCCCACAGATTTGGGTCATTTTCCACTGCTTTCCCAGGTGTATCAGCAGGGAGCTGGATTTGAAGTGGAACAGTTGGGACTTGAACCGGTGCCCACATGGGATGCTGGCACTGCAGGCATCAGCTTTATCCACTACGTCCCAGTGCTGGCCCCTACCTGGTTTGTGTTTAAGTGTCACTGATGAGCTGCTCCTGTGTGTGCTGTGCTCCGCACTTTTAGTGAGCAGGGTTTAAGCTGGCCCTGTGTGAGCACATGTGTGCTGTGCCCCAGGCACTGCTCAGCTTTTCTGCTTGTGGAGTTGCCTTCACAGGGCCTCGACTCCGTGTGATAGAGTGAACATGTGTGGAAAGTCTTTAAGAATTTCATACAAACTTCGAGTTTTTTTGGTATTTAAATGATGTGATGTAAATGGTAGATAAGCGTTAATAATGGGGTGGTTGAGAGGGTCTTGAAAACATTTGTGAGACAACTGCATATTTAATACATTATTTTTTCTAGTTCTTTCATAGAAAAATGATTTCTATGGAGATCCTAAAATGCCTGGCGTGTGGTTGGCAGCTTAAGTTGGAAGGAGCCGCTGGCAGTTTGTGCAGAGTGAACTGGAGCTTATGGAGCCACCTGCCTGTTGTCCTGGGCAGTATCAGGCACTTTCTCTGTTGCTTAACTCTGAAACCAACAGGGGCTGGGAGGTGGTTTTAGTGTACAGATGAGACAGCTGACGCCTGTGGAGTTGAAGTTGTGTGCCTAAGGGTCCTGCGGTTGGGTGATGACCGCTTAGAACCCGAGTCTTGAGAGCTGCCCTGCTCTCTGCGCCCCCTCGTCGGTGGCAGTACCTGCACTCATCTCCCTTTCCAGAGAATCGTGACAGGTGGTGGGAGCCACTGTTGCTCTTTGAGGTGGGAAAAAGCAAGCTTTGCGCGTGGCCATGTTTTTTTATGAGAGGTGGCTGGATGTCCTGGAAGATAAGTTACATGGCTACTCTAGAGAGTGGAAGAGAGGTTTGGTCATTGTAGCTAATTATGTTTTGGTTAACTTGTTTTGTATTGCCTGAAGGAAATACATTAGATAATTTATACTTATTCTTCATTTGCAGTGTGATTCATCCCAATTCATGAAGTAGCACTAAAATTGTATTCCCTAGAGTACAATCAATAAAAGTTAGTTTCTGAGAAGGAAACTTTCCTTTGATGGAATCTGCTGTGTTTCACAACACCTCTATGTCAGAGGTTTAGTTAAACTTGCCCGTCCCCACTAGGGGATGAACAGTGCACTACCAAAGAAACACTCCCCTAACTATACCTATTTTGTTGCTTATTCTAGGTGTCTCAATTCACAGATCTACCTGAACCATGAAAAAAGGCATAATTAAATACAAAATACAAGCTAAGAGCTTCATGGGCTCTTTAAAAGATACCTGGTGTAGCTGTTACTTGACACTGGTTGGGTCATCTGTATCAGAGTGCCTGGGCTTCCTGCTGTTTTACACCATAGGTGATTTGCAGTAGTAGGGGATGGCTCAAATGTTGGGTATCTGCCACCTACACTCTGGAGACCTGGATTGAGTTTCTGGCTTCAATCTATTCCCTCCCTGACTGTTGTAGGAATCTGGGGAGTGAACTAGGGCATGGGAGAGTCCTCTGTCTGTTTCAAGTAAATAAAAAATTTTAAAAAAGAATTTCATCTTAGCTGAAAAAAAAAATTCTTCCTTGTAAAGTACTCCTATAAGTAAAGGAAATGTGGACATTGTTCATTGTATTTTGTTGAGAAATTTTCTTTATAAAGAAGAAGATATATACGAAACATGTCCTGTATATTTTATTTGGAGCCGTTTCAAGACATTTAAAATCATTTTCCTGAAAGTCAGAAGTTCAAGACTGATCATCTGTTCAATGACTAGAGTATGATATTTAGCTGCTTTATATTACAGTATTTTGTATCTTTCTACAAACTGAATCAACCCACTTGGGGTTTGTTTTGTTTTTCCTTTCCCAGTGTTTACCAGGTGCTGGTCTCTTGATGTATTTTGCTTAAATTTGAAAACTCTAAAAACTTATCCACAGACTGGTATAGTATCCAATAAGAAAGGAAGTGTTAGCATGGTTTTTGAAGGACCTGAGGAGGCGTAGACAGAAAGTAGAGAACTCAAATTCAGCTCAAGCTAGGGCTTGGACACTGCATGCTGCCTCTGCTGTGGGCCGAGCACCTTTCAGAACAGTTAGAGCTTGTGTGGAAATCTCAGCCCAGCGGAGCCACCTCCAGGGAGCAGAATATGGCGTAGACACCTGCCTTCCGTAAGTTCTGTTTGACATGGAGAAGCAGCTAACTGATGTTAGCAGTGACTTCTGGTCGTGGAGGAAGGAATGCTTGTCTTGTTTCCGAGTCTTTATTCTCAGAAGCAATGCTGGGTCAGCCACGAAGACAAACCGTATTCTACCTCCTCTCCAGACACACACAGAGACAAGATTGTCCAGGTGTTTCTCTCTCCCCCTTTTGGGAAACACATGTTTAGCTGCTGCCATGGAAAGAGCTCTGCCTGAAAGAAGGGCCAGTCGGCTGGGCTTACCTGACTACTAAGTTGGGTTGTGTGGGGAAGGTTGCCTGGGTGTTGGGTGGCAGGACAAACCCTGTTGAATGCAAGATTCAACTGCCTGCGGCAATTTCTGTTGTAATTGAGGAGCTGTCCTGATATTGGAACACTTAAAAGTTACTCTTAAATAATATGGGTTTGTCATTTGGTTAGATTTTATTAAAAATGTAAGTTGTTCTTAGATAATGTCAGAGTATTTCTTTAAAACCTTCTATGTTTCTGGGGATGCGGAAAGTAGTGACAGAAATCCCAACTTTAAGTGTATGACTTTATTCTGGCAATTTTGTTTATCCCCACCATCGACACTTTAGGAGGAAAGACTTTAATTTGTTTTCTTAACATAGTTGCTGTAGTGCCTCATGCTTAAAAAGGCAGAAAGATGGAGCTGACATTTTTATCTAGGTACAATTATGAATTAGACCTAATAACCCAATTTGGTAGAGCGTAAGTCTTTAGGCATTATATCCACCTCCTTTTCTCTTGGCAGTGAGATGTGTTTTTAAGCACTATGGCCTATTTTGAACAATTCTGAAAAGAGGTGGCTTCATTATCATTTGTAGGACTTGAAATTTACTGTTGATGTTCAAAGGAAAATGTCTAGCTTCATCAGAAATCAGCTGTTTTTTCAAACATGGAAAAACATTTTACTATGAGGTGGTGGTTCTACAGATGAGAAATCACCTAGAAGTTAATGTGTAGAATATGTTAGGTTGCATAATAATGTTTCATGTTAATCTGTCGGCAACAATTATAATTAACTTTGAAGACTCAGAATTTCTCTTTTCCAGGAGAAAACCCATCAAATTAATAAATTTTATTTTGGTAAATTTAAATGTTTATTTTGCGGAGTGATAATCCAGGACTGAAAATTATGTAACCGAAGATGATTTGTTACCCAGTGGTTGACAAATGTGTGTTTTGTTGAGGTTTGGAAGGTATAATCAAATTATTTTTCAGTCTTGCAGAAGACTTTTTCCCTTCTCCCCCTCCCCCTGCCCTTGTTCTCTATATCCGTGAATGTAAAAGCATGCAAAAGAAAAATCAAACCTGAGTCAGTGCCTTTATCTTCTCAGGTTCTCTTGGAAATACTGCCTGAAGAAAAGGGAAGGAAATTACCCCCTTTAAAAAGTTTTCTTTTTATCTTCCGGATATCTTCTATCTAGTGTAAAGAATACAATTTTACATTGTTTTTTAAGTTGTATGTCCTAGTTTCTTGTCTGTGGAATGTCTAGTTTCCCATTAGGGCAGGGGCATCTCACAAGTTCCAGGTTCCTGTATGATAACTGTATGCATTTAATGTAGAGGTTTAGGAGAGTGTTATACAAATAGATTTGTATAGATTAATGCTTGATTTTCTGTGTTTAAATTGCCTGGGGGTTAGAGAAAATAAGACTGCCTGTTCATCCAGATCCCCAACTGGTAATGAAATCTGTCCCAAATAGTCCTGAAATTCATAATATTTGAAGGTTCATTTGGGTGCCCTTATTATGAATAACTAGTATCCCTATTCTCCCCTTAAGTGCCTTAAGATCTTGATGCCCATTCCAGGCTAAGATAACCACAGTGACACCAGAAAGGGCAATGTCGTGATAGCATTTAGTTGCTGGAGAAGTTAGGCCACTTAGTTACGAGGTTGATAAATTTTGTTCTTTGTTTAAAATGATGAGTATTCTCACTGACTTGGGTATCAGCTGCGATCATACAGATTGCTCTTTTCTGTGGAATCAAAGTGTTTTTAAACGCCTCCCCTCCCTTTTAAAGAATGTCTTGTTGCGCCGTGTTTGCTAGACTGAAAGTTTCCTCATCGCCTGGTGAGACCCTCCTCTAATTCAATCTTTGTCTTTTGTCTTTGCTGCCTTGCAGGGTTGGTACAGTAGGCTTCACTAGACTTAGCTGCAACTCAGAATTTCTCCTCCAGCACCTGAGTAAATGCTGATGGTCTTGTGGAGAGTGGATTAAGAGTACGAGCTAAGTTCTCGATCCCAATTAAGAAGCCGAGGAAAATTTAAACTGTCTCCTTCAAAGTTTATCACAACCACCACCATCGAGACAGCAAACCAAAGGACAAAGACTTTGACCTGCTGTATTGCTCTGTGTAGTCCAGTGCACGTATGGTTCACAGACTGGCTGGGGTTACTAATAAGTAAATAAAAAGTTGGACACTTCTGTCATTGGACACTTACTCACAAGTTACCAGAATGAGGGCTGTACTGGAGACAGCAGACATTGCCATAGTGGCCCTGTATTTTATCCTGGTCATGTGCATTGGTTTTTTTGCCATGTGGAAATCTAATAGAAGCACCGTAAGTGGATACTTCCTGGCGGGGCGCTCTATGACCTGGGTAGCGATTGGTGCCTCTCTGTTTGTGAGCAATATTGGGAGTGAGCACTTCATTGGGCTGGCAGGATCTGGAGCTGCAAGTGGATTTGCAGTGGGCGCATGGGAATTCAATGCCTTACTGCTTTTGCAACTTCTGGGATGGGTTTTCATCCCGATTTACATCCGGTCAGGGGTATACACCATGCCTGAATACTTGTCCAAGCGATTTGGTGGCCATAGGATTCAGGTCTATTTTGCAGCCTTGTCTCTGCTTCTCTATATCTTCACCAAGCTCTCAGTGGATCTGTATTCAGGTGCCCTCTTTATCCAGGAGTCTTTGGGTTGGAACCTTTATGTGTCTGTCATCCTGCTCATTGGCATGACTGCTTTGCTGACTGTCACCGGAGGCCTTGTTGCAGTGATCTACACAGACACTCTACAGGCTCTGCTCATGATTGTTGGGGCACTCACACTTATGATTATCAGCATGATGGAGGTTGGCGGGTTTGAGGAAGTTAAGAGAAGGTACATGTTGGCCGCACCCAATGTCACCTCCATCTTGTTGACATACAACCTTTCCAACACAAATTCTTGTAATGTCCAACCTAAGAAAGACGCCTTGAAGATGTTGCGGAATCCAACAGATGAAGATGTTCCGTGGCCTGGATTCATTCTTGGGCAGACCCCAGCCTCAGTGTGGTATTGGTGTGCTGACCAAGTCATCGTGCAGAGGGTCTTGGCTGCCAAAAACATTGCTCATGCCAAAGGCTCTACTCTTATGGCTGGCTTCTTGAAGCTTCTGCCAATGTTTATCATAGTGGTCCCAGGAATGATTTCCAGGATACTGTTTGCTGACGATCTAGCTTGCATCAACCCGGAGCACTGCATGCAAGTGTGCGGGAGCCGAGCCGGGTGTTCCAATATTGCTTACCCGCACCTGGTGATGAAGCTGGTTCCCGTGGGCCTTCGGGGCTTGATGATGGCAGTGATGATCGCAGCGCTGATGAGTGACCTGGACTCTATCTTTAACAGTGCCAGCACCATATTCACCCTGGACGTGTACAAACTCATCCGCAAGAGCGCCAGTTCTCGGGAGCTGATGATCGTGGGGAGGATATTTGTGGCTTTTATGGTGGTTATCAGCATAGCATGGGTGCCAATCATCGTGGAAATGCAAGGAGGCCAGATGTACCTTTACATTCAGGAGGTAGCAGATTACCTGACACCTCCAGTGGCAGCCCTGTTTCTTCTGGCAATTTTCTGGAAGCGTTGCAATGAGCAAGGGGCTTTCTATGGCGGAATGGCTGGATTTGTTCTTGGAGCAGTCCGTTTGGTACTGGCCTTTACATACCGCGCCCCAGAATGCGACCAGCCTGATAACAGACCTGGTTTCATCAAAGACATCCACTATATGTATGTGGCCACAGCACTGTTTTGGGTCACAGGACTCATTACTGTAATTGTTAGCCTTCTTACCCCACCTCCCACAAAGGAACAGATTCGCACCACCACCTTTTGGTCTAAGAAGAGCCTGGTGGTGAAGGAGAGCTGCTCTCCCAAAGATGAGCCGTACAAAATGCAAGAGAAGAGCATTCTGCGGGGCAGCGAGAACAGCGAGGCCATCAACCACATCATCCCCAACGGGAAATCGGAGGACAGCATCAAAGGCCTTCAGCCCGAAGATGTCAATCTGTTGGTGACCTGCCGAGAGGAGGGCAACCCGGTGGCTTCCCTGGGCCATTCCGAGGCAGAGACGCCAGTGGACGCTTACTCCAACGGGCAAGCGGCTCTCATGGGTGAGAAGGAGAGGAAGAAAGAAGTAGAGGATGGCAGCCGCTACTGGAAGTTCATAGACTGGTTTTGCGGCTTTAAAAGTAAGAGTCTCAGCAAGAGGAGTCTCAGAGACCTTATGGAAGAGGAAGCTGTTTGTTTACAAATGTTAGAAGAGACTCCAAAAGTTAAGCTAATACTCAATATTGGACTTTTTGCTGTGTGTTCACTTGGAATTTTCATGTTTGTTTATTTCTCCTTATGAACTTAAGATATGGTGAGACACTTAAGAGAATACTGGTCTTTGGAAAAAAATTATGTAACTGTTGCATCTCTCAGGCATTGTTTACGCTGTAGGTTTTAGCCAAATTTTACTTAGCAGAAAATCATCTATTTGCAAGACTTTATTTTTCCCAGAGATGGACGGAAGTAAATCTTCAACTTAAATGAAGCAGAACGTGTTTAACAGACTGACTTGTGCAAATGTGGTTCAAAATTTTCCATACCAAAGTAAGGAAAGACTACTTATTCTCACAGGTCTCTGAGGCAGAATCAATGTTAAGATACCGTGAATAAGGTACACTGTTTGCACTGCCGAGTCTTGACAGACTTTGTGCTGAAGTAGAAGATTTGCTCGTTTCTAAGTTTTTTTCTGTCTCTGTAACCCCTACTCACAAACAAAAGCCAATTCTTAGACCTTGTACAATCAGTTATGTACTGAAAATCTAATGTGCTTGTGTTGTACTTGTTTCAGGACAGTTTGCCACGTTCATTTTGTTAGCATGAGTCTATGAATTCTGATTGCCAAAAGAAAGAATGTTTTCCTGTAGGTATTTTTGTACCCTCTGTATATAAAATGTTGGGGAAAAACATCGTTCCAGTTCTCTCTCCCCCACCCCCCATTTTTTCCTGCTTTAAAATGTAAGTGAACCATATTGAAATGACCATATCTGTCTTTGAAGTTACGTGTCATAATTGTATTGTTAAATGGTTATGGGTTGGGGGGGGGGTGAATGAAGTAAGCATTGCTGATGATCCCTACATATGTTGACCAAATTCAGTTTGTTGTTACAGTTTGGGAATTACCAGCCTCCCAGGCAGTGTTTGATTAACTTAAACTAAACATACTGCTCACACTCCATAATTTTCCAGCTTTGTTCTTGTCAGTTGGTAACATTCTTTAATAGCTTTCCCAAATGGATCCAATTGGAAGATACGTTCAGAATCCAAAAGTTGACACTGCCTGTGTGTGCTGGGCGCCCCGGTTGATTAGATCATGATACACTGAAGTGGTTTTAGAAGGCAGGTTTAATTCGAGACCATACTGTATCCTTGACACTTCTTGTTTGTGATCAAGACTTGCCATCTGTACACAGCCTCGACGTTTGTGTTGTTGCAGTGACTTAGAGCATGAGGTGGTTTCAGTGCACATGGGCCATCAGGATCAGGAGACTCGCGAGTGCATGCTGCCATTGGTAGGTTGTCAGGAAATCTTTCTGTAGGATGGGTAGCATGTTCAGGAAGTGCCACGAACAAGGACTTCTGGGTTTAGTAGTGTGTCTGACAGTAGATGTTACAGGATGTTTGTAATCTTAGGACCCTTATCTTGACATGGTTTGGGTACCCAGTTGCAATGTCCATGGTGGGAGTCTTATTTTTCACAGGCTGTTTCCCCTTAATGAGGACAGGGCAGGGTACAAATGATGTTAGAAAAAAGCTCTCCAGATTGTGTAGTTTGTGTGTGTGTGTGTTGTTCTTTGTCCTCCTTAAAAGATGAAGGAAGCTGATTATGCATTTACTTTCTTTGACTTTGTTTAATCTCTGATACTTTTTAAATTGCATGAATTTATTAAGATTGTATGCTTTAGGGGGAATTACTTTTATAGATACTTTTGTAGATTTTGAATCAAAACTCAGTCCTGATGACTTTAAATTCTTTTGTAGTCTATGAACTGGTTTCATTATGATGGACTTGGTTAGTCCAAAGTTGATTTTAGAAATTATCAGGTAATTTAATGTCTTCCTGTCTTCAGGAGGCTTTCTGATGGACTGAGTCTATTGATGGAAAAATAATTCATGTATGGATAGTATGTAATTCTGAAGAGCTTAGAGTGCCTTGTTGAATTTTTTCTCAATTTCATTCTTGAGGTTTATAACCTGGGGACCAAATAGATAAGGGACCATCCTTTTCTTGTGTGGAGGTTAAGGCTGTGACAAGTCCAAGGTTATAACATGTTTCGGGGGAGAATGGAAACCAGACTTCCAAATCTGGACACCTAGTTTGTCCAGATGTATCTGGACAAATGATTTGTCCTGTTTGTTTTTTTTCTCAAAGAAACTCTTCTTTGAAACAATCCTTTGTAGGATCTTAAATTTTCCAAATTGGCACTAAGTTGAAGGAATTAAATTTTTCTGGACTCTGAACACATTGCTATGTAATTCAGCAGTGAGAACTGATGTATTGGCTGGGCAGCCTTCCTGTTCCTTCTGCTTACAGCATAAGTGACTAGGAGGCGTGTGTGTAGATTTTTTCCCCCTTTATTTAATGTTGAGCCCTAATAGTTTGGAATCTTATAGTTCCCCCATCTTCTGTCTGCTGTTGTCTTAGTAAAAACGTAAGATACATTGTGTTATCTGTTTGTGTATATAGCAGTTGGTCAGATTGGGAGTACTAATGTCTGTAAATAAGGAATGACTATTAGCATATCCATTAGAATTGTTTGTTCTTGCCAGTATCAACATCACTTTATTTAGACTGAAGTCTCTGAAGCTTGTCCTTACTGCTTCCCAGTAATAGATAATGCACTTGAGTAAGTATGGATTGCTGGTTGCCACTTCTTTTCAGAGGACCAATCTTAGTGTGTATTTCATTAGAGTGAGTGTTCCTGGGATGCTGCGTGGACTGTGATAAGCTAGCAAATTGCTCATACTGTATACTGACTAGATGAGTCCCAAATAGTGACATTGATCTCAAGACTTTAACGTGTGTATCTTTATATTAAAGTTCAAGCTAAGGTTCAGAATTGACTGAGAGTGACACTGACTTGAATGGTAGCTGAAAGTCAAAATGAGACGAGGATACTGGTCTTCCGAGGCAGGAGAAACACTGTCGTATCAGCTGTTAGTGGTGTTCCCGGTTCTTAGACTTCTGTCTTCTCAGGTATTCTTAGTCTGAAGATGTGATAAGAAGGGCTTATTACACTGGTGAGCAGAATGACTGTTGACTTTTCTATGGGACCTCTGATTTCTCTGATCATCTCAGAAGATACTGTCCTGCTCCCCTACACTGCCGAGCTGATCTCTTCCCCAGTTCTGCTTTGCTGGGAGGTTACTGCATCAGTCTCTAGATAGAGAGGATCATGAAGCAATAGCCATGGTGCTGTGTTCTTTGGCATAAGTTCAGTAGATCTGATTTCTCCAGGCTTCCTTTTCACTTCGCTCAGAGGATCCATTGTCTTTTTGCACTGAGGCTGGCCAGGTTCATGTAGGTGCTTAAGGATGGAACCCCAAGCAGTTAACAGAGACCCTCATTCTGATACTTCACATTTTAAGAATTGGATAGGAGGGTTGTGCTTCAGGTCTCTAACCAGAGGCACAGGGGATTAAAAGTCTTGTCTCAGGCCTTTTAGAATCTTTTTTTTTCCCCCCAGTGTGTCCTTGTTTGCAGTCCATGGTTTTTTCTCTCCATTGGGTATATGGATCTTCCCAGAGATCTTTGAATTTCATTACTTGTAGCCAGTAGGTTTTTCTCTTACTGACAGATAAACTGGCTCCATTGTTACCCTTTAAGAAGGCTGGATCCTTCAGTGTTCCCACTTGGCAGCATTAGGCTTAGTGGATTACCTGTCTCATGTTCATTTGAGTTGTGAGGACTGTATGGTAGGTGATAGTGACACGTAGTCACCGTATCCCAGAGATTGCCCAGGTCTGGACTGAGAGAATAGGGTTCAACAGGAAAGATTAGATCACTCAGAGTTGCCAGCTCCAGTTTAAAAAATCATAAAAACATTTAAGTGAGGTTTACAAGTGCTCAGGTGATAGAGATTAACAAATTGGAGGACAAACATTTTCTTAATACCTGCAGACACATGCAGAGATTTGAAGCATCTGGACTGCTATTTGAAACCCCTCCCCATAAGAATTAGGGTATTTGTGAATAAAACATATCTGTTAAACTCTGGTTTGATAAGTATAATAAGTATGAATTTATTGACACATTAGAAGCTGATGGATATTTGATAGTGATAATTTAGTAGAAAAAAATGTTTCTAGCTTTCAGTGTCCATATGATTTTCAGTATCCAGATGCCTAAGTCATTGCAATGTTTTTAACAGATGGCATAGTTCTGTGTCTGTGCATATCTACCTACCATACAGAGACTGATTTGTCTTCTCCTTGCTTCTTAGTTCTTTACGTATTCTTTCAGTATTTAAATTCCTATTTTGATTTTTTTTGTCAGCTTAGTTCTTTCAGACCTGTTGTCATAGTATACTTTGCCCCAGTAGTAATGCCTCTGATCCATGTATTTATTTAAATATAGTTGTACATACTAAATTTCTATTCATTTAAAATGTTAATTCTCCAGAATGATTTTCTCAGAATTGTGTGTTGACCAACAAAAGCACTAGTAATTCAGTGGTATTCTCAAAACTATTTTCAAAAATTAGGGAGACTAGTAGTGAAAATTTACTTAAGGCCCTTTGAAATGATGGTTTATTGCAGAAAAGCAGTGGGGTTTGTTTTGATGCCAGAAGGCTTGTCTGTGTAGTAATTTAATGTAACGATTTGAAGCTAGTCAGTCAGCATATAGAGGAAACAGTTGTGTTCCTTTGACTGGAGACTGGGTTGCGGGAGAAGTAATCTTCTGATTACTAGCCTTGGTTGACTTAACCCAGGGATACAAACACCTTTCCCTTATTAAGGTTGCTTCTCTGAATCTGAATTAGGTATATTTTTGTCAGACTCCCCTGGCTGGAAAACTAAAAGCTACTTTGACTTCTAGGAGAGAATTTAGCTAAAGTTCAGAGTAATTAATAGACGTTCCAACCTGAATTCCACACCATGACTTACTTAGTCATAGAAATGTTTTTATTTAAACTTCTCTCTGCAGTTCTGGGAGTGGTCTCACCTTTAAAATAATGTGAACAATTGATGGAACTTTGGTGTGTTTCCATCTTAACTCCTTTGTAAAAGGTGAGATTCAGTTTTTCCTTTTGGTAGGCCCCCAGAACCACCAACCAGAACCAGTCTTTTACTCCTACATAACAAAAAAGGTTTGGTGTATCTGGTCTTAACTAATCTCATGCACTTTGCTTTTTCGGGGAGTACCAAGTAATTGCAGGCTGCTGACTTAAATCAGTAACCTTATTTTATGTAACGACTGTTGGATTTGGGTGCCTGGAGTCCCAGCATGTGTGAAGAGCGGGTTGCTGGAGAAAAGCAAGCGCTGCAGAGCCAGCCAGGACAAAGCACGGAGGCGCACGTCTGCCCTGTGTGTCCCAGTGGTTTGGCTCTGCTCAGTGGTGGAGCGGAAACCCCTGTGCAGTGACTGGCTGTGATAGGCGAGCCCCTCCCCCTTCAGTGAGCTCCTACGGGGATTTCAGCAGCAGCACGAGGTGACGGGAGGTGATTCACAGCCTGGCTGGAGACTTACATGTATCTTGGTACATTTCACCCTATTCCCTGGTGCTGGTGGATAAAGGTGTGTTACATTAAAAAAAAAAAATTGCTTTTGGATGAACTAGGTAATTTTTCAGTTTATCAGTGTAGCCAAAACCTCCATATGTGGAATGTTCAGTAGTAGCTTTTTTTGTTATATTTATTGGAAATTAAAATTAGACTCTTTGCTGTTATAGAAATCCTGAATTGGCAAAGGTGCCAATACATATTCCATAATATAACCAGCTTTTAAAATTTATATGTTTGGATTAGTGCCTTCTGGTTGCCAGTATTGACTCTGCTAGTTTGCACCTTTCCTTAATAGAAAATTCTTATTTGTTATTACTTCTGAAATTTCATTATAACTAGTGAAGGAAATTAAAAATATACATTATATTTACATACTTTATATACAGCCTTTATTTAGGTTCAAGGAATCTAGGTAACTATTCATGTTGCAGCTTTAATTATTTTTGATTGCTTAGTTACTTATTCTGATGATATTTTCTCTCTCCTTTCCATTGTGGTTATGACAGGTAAATCTGAGAACAGGTAGATGACAGCTGTTCATCTTCTAGGAGAAAAAGCTGGTCAAGGTCCATAGAAAGCACAAATGGCATTCACACGCATGTGCACCTCCACATGTAGAAAGCACAGGACTCTGGGTATTCTGAGTAACCCTCAAGTGCCAGTCATGAGACTCACCAGTTGTTGTGAGGACCACAGTAGTAACAGCCCTAGATGCTAAGAGATGGAAGTTATGGGAACTGAATGATAGGGGATTCAGAGTGGTCACCTGGACGAATCTCCCACCGTGGTGGAGTGGGGAGCTCAGATGTTGGGAGCGATGTATTATAACCGGGTGGGGTGTGGTGCTTCGCTGAAATAACGTCTGGGCTCTGCTACCATCTGTAGCTGAAGAAGCAGACACACTTCTAGGTTGGTTGTGGATGGTCTAAAGCTGAAGAGCTGTTGGAATGGTTTTGTACTTCAGGAGATTACCTCTTGTCAATAATGCTCTAAAAAACATGGAGAGATTCACATTTTAGCAGAGCACACACTACTTTAATTTTTTGTATGCTTCATTTAATAGAGGAGAATTAACCCATATGTTCAGAGCATCGAGCTAATTCTGAGACAGGTTTGCCAAATGCGGAGAGTCTGTACGGGACTGCTTGCCCGTCCTGTTACCCCCATAAGACCCCATTAGACAAAAATCTGTGCACGTGGTGCAAGAGGAAGAAGAGAATGTGTTTTCTTCCACTCAGTGTTGCCCTCCCCTACCCTTTGCTTGCTTCTCCTCTGAATAATCCATGTGTTTCAAGAACAAATAAGTATCTTTGTCTTAAGTTTTGCCCATGTGTCAAAAGGTACAACTCCCAGAATGAGAGAGAAGTGGCTGATGGGTTTCCTTGTTCCTGCTCTCCTCTGTTTTGTACCATCTTTTTAGGGAAAGACTGGTCAGCTCTCATGTAGAAGTCTAGAGGAAGTGGTAGCTGGTGTGGGCTGGAAGGTTCACCGTCTTCCTGCAGCAGAAAGCTGGCCAGGTGTGCATCCACAGCGTCGTTTTAGAATCTGAGACCTGAGGCTTGGGGGGTGAGGGGAGAAGAGCCAGAAATGTAGGAGAAAGAAGTTTGAGGAACATCCTTGGCTTAGCAATATGTGATAATGCAAAGCAATTAAAACCTGTTAGTCCTATATATTATGTATTCTGTACCTTTAAATAACGTTTGAAAATTTAAAATAGTTTGTAAGAACTTTAAGAAAAGAATGTTTTTGAAGATTTCGTTGCAGAAATGTCTTTCATTTATAATTCCATGGAAAACTGCTTTAATTAGCCTAGGTGGGAAGTAGTCCTTGCAGTGTAAATATGTGTAAGTAGAGTTTTCTGATTCCACTGTGAGAGCTCGAACTTTTGAGTGGCAAATAGATCATGGATTTTTCTGTGGGGTTGTTAAGATGCAAAAGCTTTATTATTTTTTAATAATGACATACTACATTAGTGTCGGATAATGGTGCGGAGTCTTTCCCTGCAAGCCCCACCATGGTTGCTTCAGTTTATAGATTGCCAGCAAGTTCAGAGATAGAGCAGGGACTTGCCCGTTCTTTGGGACATCTCATTTTCTGTGTCCAGACCTGTGTTGGCAATCACAGATGAACTGTGTCGTGCTTCTCAGTACTTCTTTTTTTTCTTTTTTGATAAGATGGATATCAAAAATAGTTGCTGTGCAAAAGTTAGTAGTCTTCTTCAAGAAGAAAACAAATTCCTTTTCTAATAATATCCTGTGAACTTGCTTCATTCATCCTTTATTTTTAAGCCAAATGCCAGCAGAATCCTGCTGCTGCTTTTATCTAGTAATTTTGATATGTAAGTATTAATGAATTTTAAAAAGATGTCTACATTGAAAAATGTTTTCCCCCAGCGTCCTGCCTATGATGCTCTGAGCAGACTTTCTGTAAGAGACCAGTCAGTACCCTGGGAGTGTGTATTGTGTATGTGTGTCATTTTAGTCTGTCATTTAGGCATTGTAGATGAAATGATTATCAATAAAGTTGGTGAGCATCAATTTAGTTATTAGTAAGTTTTGTTGAATTGTACGATTTAAAATTTACCCTCCATTGTCCACAGCTTTTTAAATTTTCAGGTTTGAATAATTGATTAGGTCCATCTCCTTATACAATGTTTTGGTTGCAAGCAGAAAGTAGAATTTGATATAAACTAGGTTACTTCTATATTGAAAGGAATACAATTGAAATAGTAGATTTAGGTTGTTAACCATTCATGACAATTTTAACTTGACTATTCTAACCTACTGTATACAATCCAGTTTTTAAAATTGTAAACATGTATAATCTTGGTTTAATGTGTTTTAAAAGTGTTATTGTTTAAAAAATGAAAAAAAAAAGATGCAAATCTGCTAAAGAGCTGTCAGTTTTCATTACTGACTCTGTAAAATACACTGTTATTTGTGTACTGTGTGTCATTTTGCCAGCTGCTGCATTAGCCTTCAGAAGTATTTGGAAACTTAAGACGAACTCCATTTCTTGCAAAATACATTCCTTTCTGTGGTATTTTGTCCTGTAACTGAAGTATAGTAATAATTATTTTATGGAAATGTTAGCACTTCTGTACCAACTTTGAATAAAATGAGAAATTTATATTTCTGTGACTGAGTATTTTCAGTATGAACACCTGTCTACCCCGTGAATTCACATTGCACTGGGTCCCAGAGTTGAAGAGGTTGTACCCGTTTCTGTTTTCGTGGCTGTGGATGGTCTCCAAGGAGGTTTCTCCTCTCAGTAACTGTCATCAGTAACCTGTGTAAACAGTGACTTGGGTAATGGCAGAACTATGTTGAGTAAATGAAGATATGATTCATTTCTTGCACTTAGAATTTTGAAATAATTTCAAATTACAGGAAAGTTGTAAGATGGAATAGAGTTCTGTTCCTTAAATAAATAAATAAATAAAATGGAGTAGAGTTCAGGGATCTTCTTTATCCAAGTTCACCAGCAGTGAACAGACGGCCACATGTGCTCTACCAGCCTCTTGGATCCTACACATTGTTCTGAGAACTTCAGGAGAACTGTTGGCAGGCAGCATTCCCCCCTTACCCACCCCTGAGTACTGGGTCTATTTTTAAATACAAGGAAAGTTGTTCGTAATGGTTAGAATCTGGAAAGGAACTGTGACCTGAGCACTACGTAGACGTTGCTGGTTCTAGTCACGTCTTCTTATCAACTTTAGCTTGTGGAAGCTGGACTGTGTCTGTCCTTTGTTTCCTTTAACTGCAACCTGGGCCATTTTGTGAACATCCCCCCTCAATTTGGGACATTATCTGTTTGTTCATGATTAGATTCAGATTGCACTCTGGCGTGGACACTCCATAAGTGATGGTATGTCCTCAGACTGCCACCTGGAGAGGCGATAACTGTCATGCTGTCCTTTGACACTTGCTTGGTGAAGGTAGTATTTATAAGTAGTTTGGGGAGAAAGGGACTGTGGATAACCTCATTAAGCTTGAACCCCTAGTTTTAGCATTCATTGATAATTCTTGCCTAAACTATTACTGTGATAGTACAGTATAGCTGACTTTGTAACTTTTTTTTCTCCTGTCCATGCTGATTTTTTTTTGGACAGGCAGAGTGGACAGTGAGAGAGACAGAGAGAAAGGTCTTCCTTTGCCATTGGTTCACCCTCCAGTGGCCACCTCGGCCGGTGCGCTGCGGCTGGCGCACCGCGCCGATCCAATGGCAGGAGCTAGGTATTTCTCCTGGTCTCCCATGGGGTGCAGGGCCCAAGCACTTGGGCCATCCTCCACTGCACTCCCTGGCCACAGCAGAGAGCTGGACTGGAAGAGGGGCAACCGGGACAGAATCCGGCACCCCGACCGGGACTAGAACCCGGTGTGCCGGCGCCGCAAGGCGGAGGATTAGCCTAGTGAGCCGCGGCGCTGGCCACTGTCCATGCTGATTTGAAGAACCTCGCTTTTCCCATTGATTTGTCAGTATGAACGCAAGGATTATTTTACTCAGTGGATCCATTACTGTTGCTATTTTGTTCAGATGTCTTCAGATTTAGCTAATGGGACCCCTTTCAGAATAGTTCCTTGTTCGTTACAACATTTCTGTCATTTTATGAGTACTACTTAGTTTTCTAGTGCAACGAGGTGTTCTGGGCTCTTCTTGCTTTTTCCTTGTCCCGGTCTGGGATCGGGCATAGTAGGATATGGCCCAAGAGTGCTCACTGCTACAGGCCTTCATGTCTTTTGGGCCCTTTCAGTGGACAGAGCTAGGGAATTCACATACACATCCATCTACTGATGCCCCTAATCTAAACCTGGACCAGAGGTTTCTTTTTTTGTTTTGAATTTATTTTTATTTGAGAAGCAGCTCCTAACTGCTGGTTCATTACCCTTGCTTGCAACAGCCGAAGCTGGGCCCTGAGCCAGGAACTAGGAATTCAGTCCAGGTCTCCCACATGAGTGGCAGGAACCCAATTAGTTGAGCCATCACTGCTGTCTCCCAGAGTCTGCATTGGCAGGAAGCGAAGTCAGGAGCTGGACCTGGGAAGCAGACCCTGGGACTCTGATGCGGGACACAGGTGTCCTAACCCAGAGACTGAACACCTTTCTCTACTCTGATTCTGTGTTCCTGTTCCCTTTCTCCAGCTGTGAGAAATTGGCTGTTATACTGATGTACTCTTTTTTTTTTTTTTAAACCCAAACCCAATCTTGCAACTCCTTAGAATTAAAACAATTTTTGCATGTCTTGAAATGTCTTCATTCTACCTTATATTTGAAAGTTTGGCCTGATGAAGGAATCTGTGTTAGAAAGCGGTTCCTTCAGAAATTTGGAAGAGTAAGACCGTGTTTTTCTAGCTTCTAGTCCCTGTGTTCCATAATTTCACAATCATGTACTTTGATAAAAAAATTTTTTTTCCTTTTTATCATTGTACTGGTCCCCAGGGTGCTCTTTGAACATGACTGCTCAGTTCTGGATTAGATTTTCTTTTTTGGGAGCCCCTTTTAGCTCTTGGACCTCCTGGATTGGTACACTTAGTTTTCCTAAGTCTTTTGTTTAAATTTTCATCTGTCCTATTCCAAGGGGAGTTTCCTAAAACTTAAAAAAAAAACAAACTTTTTTTTTTCAGCTTTTTAATTCTAAGAACTCTTGTTCCCAGATTCTGCCTTGTGTTTAGTGTCTCGTGCATGCTGTGTGTTCTCAAGACAGTAGAGTCTTCTGTGTTATTTACCTCAAGCTCTGAAAGTTTATCAGAGAGTTCATGGAAGATGGAATTAAAAGATTAATTTGATGCAGAAAAATTATTGAAATCCATGCATATAAGGGATCTTCAAAAAGTTCATGGAAAATGTACATTATTAAACTGTGCATGGTTAAGATTTTTTTTACAACAAAATAAACTTCATATTTTTCCATGATCATTTTCCAGTATCTTCCGTTTTTTTCCCCTGTTGGTGTTGGTTTTTCTTGTTACAAGCAGACGGTTGTTGCTTAGCTGTTTGCTTGTATTTAGTACGCTGAGGGAGAAATGCTGTGGTGTTTGTGGGTGGAGCTTGTTGGCCTCCTCTTTTCTCCTTCGTGGCTGGGTTGGTTGTCAGGTAAGTCCTGCAGCACCTTGGCCAAGTAGGGAATGAGCACAGGAGGGTCAGCATTCAATGTGCATGGTCCCCTTAATTCCTTCTTCAACACACCCCACTCAGAGCTGTGCCTGCGTCCTCTGATCTACAGACTTCCTGTTTTTTTTAAAGATTAGTTATGTGAAAGGCAGAGTTACAGAGAGAGAGGGAAGGAGAGGGAGAGAGAGAGAGAAGTCTTCCATCTGCTGGTTCACTCCCCAGATGGCTGCAACGACTGCAGCTGGGCTGATCAGGAGCCAGGAGCTTCTTCTAGGCCTCCTTCGTGGGTGCAGGGGTGCAAGGACTTAGGCCATGGCAGAGAGCAGGCTTGGAAGTGGAGCAGCCAGGACTTGAACCGGTGTCTCTGGGATGCTGGCACTGCAGGCGGCAGCTTTACCCGCTACGCCACAGCGCCGACCCCAGACTTGCTGTTTTATCCATTCCAGAGAAGAAACCTTTAAATGTGCCTCTGGAGGTCCAGCTACTTTCAACCTTCTGTATTTATTTTAATCTCTTGCTTCACCCCAGTTTCAGAGGTGCCCACTGTTGCCAATTCTCAGATCTTTGGAGGAATTCTTCAGTACCTATAGTTGGTTCTTGGTTTTCCTCATTGTTGACTTTCCCCCCCTACTTCCTTCTGAAACTCCTATTGCTGCTGTCTCCTTTTTTTCTGCCGTGTTCTTGTAGGGTTGTACCTCAGTTCTGCACAGTGTGTCCATATATCAAAACATCACCTTGAATTTTCGCAGTGTTTGTCAGTTACACCTCCATGAAGCGGGGGGACAGAACCCCTTTACAGTAGTTCTGGTAGGGTCCTGGGAGAGGGAGCATACCTCAGTGCTTAACGCCGAATTGCCCAGCTTGCCTGAAGACCTAGTACCCACTCTTCAGCTAGTCCAGCCTTTGAAGGGTGAAATTCAGTGTTGCCCACTTCTGCCCTTTCTGAAAAGGCCATGTAGATGAACAGAAACAAAAGTTGAATCTTAGAAGAATTCTACTGAGCTCTTTGAGTGCAAAAAGTGAGTGTGTTCCGACGGTAGAGGGGCCTCGGAAGCCTCAGAGTTGATTGTTTTGTACAACGCGTGAGTCCCTCCCATCAAAGCATTTTTATTGTGAAGTTTAATAACTTTTAAAAGTGTCACAGATGTACAATTTAGTGAATACAGTTGATTATCATTATTCACGGTAGTTCTAACGATTCACCTGCAACAGTGAATTAGTGAATATTGAATTCATGCCTCTTGGGCAAATACAGAGTTAGGGTCCTGCAAGCTTATTTTTGTCAATAAGCTTGACTCATGCATATTTCTGGTTAAAGATGCCATATTTATTCATCTGCTTGATCCATTAACAATGAACTCAAGGCCTGAGAAAGGTTGTCTCACACATTTCCTCACAAAGGCACATCTTGTCTTTGTGCTTGGGCATGCTAGACGGTGCCTCTGCTGTACACTTAGGGGCCTGTTTTGGACAATGAAATCACCAACAAAAAGCTCACTAATGGAAAAAACATGGCACCAGTTGACTATAAAAAACACTACAATGGTCCGTACCATAAAGTAAAACAAAAGGACAAACTGCAGCTTTGTTCAAGATCATCTGGGAATGTGTGTGACAGGCAACGCCAAAAATGTAAACATGTACGTGTGTCTAATAGTGACTGTGAACGTGCGGGGGTGTTGGTTTTTTAGGTTTCGAATTTTAGCAAGTGGGCAGTCTGCCCAATACAGATCCCACAAGTAATGAGAATCTGATTGTGAAGCAAACAGCCATGTGACAGCACCTCCCCTCCCAAAGGATGCTCATTCCACCACTGCAAAGTTCTCATTTTAATTATTTTCCCCAAATCTGTCTGACTTTCACTCCCCACGTTCTACTTCTGAGGTGTTACCTTTAATTTTAAGATTAATATATTCTTTTAAGTCTCAAAATCAGGCTTGACCATCTCCATTGTCTCGGGTGTTGTCATACTAGTTTGTTTTCTGGTGTTACAGCAAAACTGAGATTGGGTTTTTTGTT